AAGTATCTGTGACCGATTGTGCGTATTCTTCTTAAGTTCATCTTACGTCTGTCCGATAGTGTATTGGATAAATACTCTGTATTATCTAGAATGCACTCGTTGGTTTTAGAACTAACCACTGAAATTGTAACCGACTCACTGATTCCTGGAATTGCATACAATCACCGTGTCGGTTATGTGGTGAATAATTGTATTCTTCCGAATTCCATTAGTTCATATCCCGAGTTTAATTGTTAATACCTAACTCCAAATGTTCTGAAACTGTCACTGTTATTTCACACGTACATGTACAGAGATCATTAGAACCCAAAGTACATACACAAATTTGAATGTGTGAATAACAAAAATTGTTTTATATGTATTGCCATGGTTTGAAAATACCGGCAGCGTTATCATCAGCCACTGATTTACAAATATGAATGAGTAGACTATTGATAATTTCTGATTTATATTTATGTAACGTTGAACATACAAACAAAAATCATTTTGTATGATAAATATAAGTGATGAAACGCTTATTCAAAGTACATGTCACCTACTCACAGCAGACTTACACTTTAACTAATGCTTTTCTTATGTTAAATATCCTACAGCAGTAATCAGTCAGCAATTGAATGCCATTATAATTCACTAATTAGAGGAAATAAGATTTCCATGTGATATTTGCACACACATATTTTAGGAATTTGTAAAATAAAGGATGCTCAATATTAATTCAAGGATTCTCTATCATGTGTTCATGATTAATGAATAAGTTAGTTTTACATTAGGTGCCAACCATCATATATATACAAGGTAACAAATATATATATATACAAATGTAGAATGTTGTGTACAAGTCGCTTACGTCTTCACTCACACGAACGACAAATAAGATGAAAATATGAGGAATCCCTTATTACTTAACAACAGAACTAAAACTGTGGTTGGTTCCATAATGTATGGAGATGGTCTAAATAATACTTATATCCCTGTAGGTCGACAGAAATGCCACATTTTTAAATGTTAGGTGATGGATCCGAAGATGAATTAATGATTTCAACAGTAGTAAGAAAATGAAAGTGAGACACATTGAAGATGAATACGGAGCGGACTAGTAAATATTGGAGGCTATGATGTTCATTCCATTATTTCATGATACCAGACAAGCGAAAATAAAGCAACAATAGTCTACGGTACAGGCAATTTTCCTAGAAGTAACATAAAGTGGTTAAAAGCTTTTTAATTGGACACTAATAGTCGAGACAGATCTTATACAGAATTTGGCAGTCAAACATGTCGTCCATTAAGGTTTACCACATCCATACTATTATTTAGTTTTTTCCACGAATATACACTTAGAAATAGCACTTCATCTGTCTGACTTTCAAGGGTTAACCTACTATTTGATTCACCAATTGCTTTAGTTTGCAGATAAAATAGTTCTGTTTGCTAAAGATGCCGACAATATATGGTGTCCTGGACAGTTTGAGTGACAGTACAAAAATATTTGGGATGGGTCGCTTTCCTTCTTAGTGCAAACTGTTTCAGGACCGTTCTGCATCCAGCCCTAGCGTGACAATTGAGAGAAGAGTAATCAAGCGTTCCGGTCACTTTACTTACCTCATCAATTCTTGTAGATTAATGACTGAATAGATCTCGTGACGGATTCCAAAAGTTAGATTGGCTTCCGCACCGTCACGGTTTTACTCTTGTGATTTGTTGCGTGATAAATCTACTTATGAAAGCTTTGACATTTTAACAAATTCATCTCAAAATATGTCCAGTTGAAAAGCTTCTGGACCGATTGATTTATCACGTTGGTAAAGACAATCACTGTCGTCATCATCATCACAATGGATGGATAATAACAGTAGCAACTTGTCAATGGAACAAAATCAATCTATTAGTGAAGAGGAGAGATGTCTATCTACTTGTTAAGGGGCGATTATACTTATGTAGAATTCTGTTGGGTTTTACTCTATGATTGTGAAATATGGCTTTCAAAAGTAGACCACATTTCTACAGTACTAGTATTTGATCATAAAGGTCTTCGTGTGTGGTAAAACAACTCAGTGAATATGAAAAGTCAGCTGATGAGGCTGTAGGTCTTCTTCAACTGAGGTGTTACATATGCCAAATCAATAACTATCTCGGGACGCGATCGTATCTGGCGTAGGAGCGATCAAAGCAAGACATGTCATCGGCCTACAAAGTCATTGAGTGTTGGTCCGAAGCATATGAGTAGGTACAGAATACTTGGTTGGGATGCGCCTGACAATCGTAATCACTGGTTGGAGTGGCACATATAGGTTCATTTTTTATCTAGTGTTAATATTATTTCGCGTAAGCACGTTCCCTATAGTTAGTTATTAATACAGCTTTCATCTCGGTGTTTATGTAACCTGGAAATGTGGGGTGAGTCAGTTCCTACTCTGGCAATGGCTTACCGAATAGATTTCAAAGATGTATTTTGCCGTTGCTCACAGAATAGGAAAAGTCAAGGTCATAAGGCAAACACCAAAGGTTCGTTGGATCTAAGAACACTGAATGAATATTTTGGAAAGGAAACAACTCAAAAAACAGAGACGAGGACAGTTCAATGGTTTATAACAGGTTATTATGTAGCTGGTTTCCTTACTAATGAAAACCAATAGCTTGCATGAGAAATTTTAAATGGACCAACATTTCAGTAGTTGGTGTTGAAACAGAGCATCTACGATTGCCGTAAACAGGTTATTCAAGTGGGCTAAATAAATGGTAATATTGGTGAGTGACAGAATCCATGTTTTTCTAAATGCAAACCGGTTTATTTACCAATGAAATATCTTTCATTTTGTATCAAAAGTGATTTCCAAGAATAATTTTTCTAAAGTATGATAAATCATACTTTTTTGAGAAATCACTGTCTGAATGAACTTATGCTCAAAATCCACATATAAGAAAAAAATATTTACGGTTGACATGGTGTTCTCAGACTAAAGAACGCTGCCTGCTAATAATTCACTTCAAGAATTCTGAGCACTTGAATTCTAACATGTAATCGGTAATTATGTCGATCCTTCGATATACTATTCCACTGAAAACTTATTAACTTATGAGATAAAATCACGTTTTGTCTCTACATAATCCACGGGTATTCAGTGAATAAATACCAAATTTTTAACATTATTGATGTGTGGGCGTGAATGAGTGATTGGTTGTCTTGATGAGGCAGACATTAGATAGGATGACAGGTGTTATATATATTCCCCTATCCTTATTATGTATGGACTGTTCCTTGCTGTTGGATACTTATTGATTGACTGTTCTTTGTGTCGGATTTTGGTGTGGAAATATATTGACGTTATAGTCAGGCTAATCTCGTGTTCTTGATCTGAGTTCTGTTGAAGTCCTGTAGAATAGACACTGGGTGGGAATCTAGTGTAGATATTCGTCTAAGGTAATTTAACGTCCCACATACGTGTAGAAAGTGAAAGGACTGTTATAACCAGAAACCCCCAGCGTTATAATCAGCATCCTCTCTTTTAAGTTTAAAACAATTATACTAGGGAACTGTTATAATTCCTGCGACCTCATGAGTCATAGATCATAAATAACTAAGAATCACTGATTAGAACCAGACAGCATAAAACTGCAGTCTAGATATTTCTAAAATATTCACTGATTAAGTAGTGAGAAATCTTATATTAATAATTTACAATTATACCATCAGTAAATGCAAATCGTAATGGGTAACTTTGTCTCTTGTAAATGGTTCGTCGAAAAATAAGTTTTAAAATTATCATTCATGAGTTATAGGACCGAGATCCCACATGTTTATATTTGTATGTCCTAAATATTTGTTTAGTAGTTGACAGATTGGATAGTTTAAAACAAACAAGTCATAAGATATGAACTTAGAACTGTGACAGTGGCTCAGTGAAACAATCATACCCATAATATCAAATGGTTTTCGATTGTGGACTGATATCGATACCAAGTCACAATCTTGGATTAAATATCTGTATTAAAGTAGCCAATGACACTTCGTTGGCTAAATTGACAAATAATGTACACAATTACTGTTACGCGTTTAACCAAAGACTTTATGCATCTTACTCAGTATCCCTTATTTGAATTTCAGTATTACATAGAATTTTTAACCTTAATAGTCACCAACATATTGTACACACATTTCGGCTCTAGATGAACAGATCAGTGAAAAGTATAGAAAACAATGTTCACCATTCTGATAAATGAACGATATATTAAGTAGTAAAACAGTGGTAAGATATATATATATATATATATATATATATATATATATATATATATATATATATATATATATATATATGATAAATTAGATAACAACGTTAAATAGTAAGATAATGGTGTGGAGGCGTATTTGGAATAAACAAACAACTGTACAACTAAAGACCACACATCGTGAAAAATCGAGTTAACTATTAGGTGAGGTATAAAAATGAGCAGCAAACCAATAAAAAAGTAAACGAGCACGATTAGCTTTGTCTTAAATAAGAAGATAAAATAAGTATTATGGGACAGAATATTTAAAAATTACTTGGTATGTGTGGAGATAGCATAAGTAGTAGGTAGTATGATCAAGGGTGCAAAAACATGGTCAAGGAAAAACAGATTTCTAAATGGACACAGCCGTGAATTTACTTTCAAAACAATATGTATTCTAAGTAAATAGAAGACATTTATTTGAAGCAGACTAATGAAGGTAAATACATAGGAGTTAAAAAATAGATATTTTAAACATTGAAGTGTAAGGAGATTGACCCAACGTCTTTAAAATAATGGACTACTAAAAACAGCGAAATTCACATTTGTGGGACTGGTTGTAAAAAAAAGGGAAATACAGAGGAGCTATGAAACGTAGCTAACAGTAAGGGAAAAAGAAACAAAATACGCCATGCCCTACGTCCCATGCGCAAAAACGTTTGAGAACATACATATATATTTATGTATGAAGGAAAACAGGGACAAGTTTTGCCTCAGAAAGCAGTATGCTGAAATGACAATAGTAACCTAGCAACAAATGGGTATAAACTGGTTTCAAATGAAAACGGAAAAGAATGCATCCCAATGTGACTGAAAGAAAGTAATGCAAAAGTGATACACCGTAACTAAGTTTTAATGGTGCTATTATTCGTAGGAACACAATAATAAACGGAAACTAACAAGCTCTAGGAAAAAAACTTGAAATTCATGTTCGAGTTCCGCAAAATCACTAAACTGCTTCCTAATGTATACAAAACATATACTATCCGAGTATTCCCATTTGATAAGTGATCAACTAAGTAACTGATAAATAATTATTTAGGAAAATCAATTAAATTCTTTAGTATCTTGCTTAGGGCAGAGATCGGTTAAAAATGTTCTGTTGGGAGGGGGTGATATTACTAGTTGATTGAATTGTTATAGGATGTGAAAGTATGACAGCAGGTAGGCATGGAGACATAATAGTTGCTGTGGGACCGGATAAGAATGGAGTACAATCCAAAGATTTTCCTGCAGGGTTAGACGGTTGCACAGATTGAATTGGTTGGAAACCAAAGTGACTGGAGACAGAACCATTGTTAGAAAGTTGCATGGATGGTCCAGATCGAGCTACTGGATGAGAAAAACAACGAAATTCACCGGTGTTGTTTGCATGTGTTGTTATCACAGTTGCAGTAGACAAAATGGGCAAACTGATGGTCGATCGATCGGTAATATCCGTATACTGATCGAATGAACTGCGCTGAACCCAGTTGACAGATCGAGTTGGGGTCTGGGATCTTATAGGATGTTGGTTGCGATCCTGGACAAAAAGTATGGGGACTTCATTATTTATTACGGAAGGTCCAGGGGTTAACAACGAGACATTAAGCTGTGAATGGGACACAGGTTGCTTGTAATTAAGAACAGTAGGAACCGATGTGCGAGATGAGCATGAAACAGAATTAGCAGACGATGGGATAGCTACTTTGGAAGGAGAGGAAACCGATTTTACAACTTGAAGTAGGGGTGTACACTCACTGCTGGCTTCCAATGCTTTAGGATGAGAAATTAGGATATTGAGAGGAGATGATGACTCATTTGATGAAGAAACATTAAGTGATTTTGAATAAACTAGGGAACGAGGAATTTGTAGTTCTGAAGTTTTCATCAATTTCGGAAATGAACTGTCACTACTGCACTGGGTTGCATAAAAGTTGTTGGATCGGTAGGGTTCAAAATATGATGTACTACATGATGTGGAGTTCCTCTCCGTAACGCCTGTCGGTAGTGAAACGTCGTTTGGAACAAAAGACGTAGAAACAGTAATATGTGTGCTTCCCACACTTGTTGTACTCGAAGTTGTTATATGAGACACGTTTTTGGACCAAGAAGTTAAATTAGCACGTGAGACAGAAACTGATGTTTGCATTGAAACAGAAGATATGATTTCGGATGAACAGGTTACAGGTGCTCTGCACAAAATCATTTGAGATTTATTTGCACCAGGGATGAGCAAAAACTGTTGTTGAGTAATTGTAGCTTTTGGATTTAAGCTCTGGAGGAACGCGACGGCTTCAGATAAATTATCGCCATCAACAAAGAAAGCGCGGGTTGTTGTGGAAGAGCGACTTTGGTGTGAATTAGAAGTAAGTAGTTTGGTAACACTAGAAACAGATGTCAAAGGGCTGATAGAGATGGTGTCCAGAGATGGAACAGATTTTACAGTTGCTTGAACTGGGCAAGTTGTAGGTTCCATAAGAACAGGGAGAGCTTGACAAAATGAATTTGACGGTACTATAGCTTCTGAGACTACAGAACTTATGCTACTCGTAGGACAGCTACCTGAAATTGGGTGAGTTAAGATTTGTGAAGAGTATGAATCAGAAATGCTAGGTCGAACACTGGAAGGTACTGAGGATTTACTGCCAAACACTGGAGATGGGTATGAACCAAAAGACGCAGTTGGACTTACTTGAGACGTGTGTAAAGGAGCGGAAGAGCTAGAACATGGTCCTAAAGATGAAGAAGAATGCCCTGGTTGATGTAGATAATTTGTAAAATTCTGCCCTGACTGAACATTAGAGGGAGTAGGTGGTGCAGAAACACTCTGTTCGAAACGATGAGTTTTAGTGGGATGCACTGGACTAGGCAACTGTGAAAAAACTGAATGTTGTAGAACAATGCTAGCATTCGAGTTTGACAGATGAGGAGAAGACGGATAGGACTGAGCGAAACTACTAGAGCAGTAATTGTAGTTATCGAGGTTGTTATTGTTAGTAGTAATGTTTTCTGAAGAGACGTTGTTTACAGAAAGTAGTGGAGACATGACATTAATACTGGGAGCAGAAAGTGGGGAACAAGGGCTTTCAGATGCCAAATTAGGTCTAGTTAACTCTTGAGTTTCACTTTGCAAAGATGACACGTTAACAGAATGAACACTTCTGTCATTTGCTGATGGCGAGATAGGAGTTCTGAGTGAAGGTGAAGAAATAGACGGTGACTGCTTATTTTCGGTTTCGCTCAAAGAGACAAAATTGATAGAGGTAGGGTAATTGCGATTCTGGAAATACCCACTTGAACCACTCGAAGGATGTGGAGTCATACTGCCCGGCAAACCATAAAAACGCTGGCCCATCATACTGCGTTCAGATTCCTTTAACATACGTTTTGCCCGTAGCTTCTCTCTCATGGCAGCCAACGTCTTTGTTTGTCGAGGTGGAGGCATAGACGGTGACCCACAAGAACTAGTGGAATTGGAAGAACGTGATGGCCGCGCAGAACGTGAAGAATTACTGGTGCTATTTTGTCTGTTAGGACAGGGACTCACTAGCTTTGAATCCAGTGAAAGTCGCCGTGCATGAGTCTATAAATAAACATTGTATTAATGAGAAAAAGATATTTCGAATCAACAGAAAAATATATATGCATGGACTTATCTTATAAATGATTATTTTATATTTGTTATGAAAACGTGAAAAGTAAGGAAACATGAAACTTGCACAGTTACTCTTTGATGAGTCAGTATGTACAATTTTAAGTCATATTTGTCAGATAGTTATTCAATGGTAGTTTTATGTAGTCTCTCTCATAACTTCTACCGATCAAAAAGTCAGTTAACTAACAATGGTTTATTCAATTTAGTAATAAACATGTTTTAGTTACGTACCTATTATGATTCATAAATTGTGGTACGATATAGTCTGATATTTCACTTCTTTAATCACGTGAGCTGTGGACTGCAATATTAGAGCAGTTAATACCGCACGTTTGGTCTATTAGCTATATGATTAGGGGCTGTGAAAGTGGTAATTTCTATGATTTACTGATAATATGAAAAATACAACCAAGTTGTGATTACATTTACCTCCAATTTCATGGTGACTGATGCCAACTTGACTGAGTACTTTTAAACATTCGCTGAATTTGAATTAGGTTATACATTGAGATTATTCTTAAACCATTTTTTTTCAAATTTAGGCTTTAACTTCTATTGAACCAAAACGCACAGAATATAAAGTTCCCTTATTACTTGAATGAAAATCTTGGTATACTCAGTTCACAAATGGTTCACATTTTAAACCAAAACTAAGAGCAAAAGATATGATTTATGTTTTAAATCAGTTTTAGTTCACTTTTCAAAGTCTTGTACGCAAATGATGTGAACATGCTACAAAGAATGCTGAAATCAGATAGTCACGGAATAATTAGCTTATAATGATTGAAAAAGCTAAATTTAGTCACATCAACCTATTGGCATCCACATTTGATTTCTACAAACGGTAGCTTGATAAGCATAGAACATGAATAGATAACTGCAAGCGTCGCAAGTTCATAATCAGATATATTATTGAGCTACAAATGATAAGTAACATTTTACACTTAATCAAATTATTAGGCATGAAACAATTTGAGACGAACACCTTTGTGTTATATCCTAGTGGAGATTAAATTATAGGTAACTTCTGAGAACTATTTATGGACTAATATTATACATATATTCCTACTATATAACTGTTAAGAAACTAAACTATGTATATTTATATTCTTCTTATTATAAGCTTTCATTTGACCTGTTGGATACTGTTATATGGTTTACTATTCTTAAGTTATTCTCAATCTATTAAGTTCAGTTTCTCAGTAATATCCAGTTTTTCGTTTGATCTTGTACATATGTTATTTTCTGTTTTATGATGTGATGTGGTCTGATTTTGCTTGTATATAAACTAAGTAGGTTTGACATATATGATTCGATATAACGGAGGTTGATACTTGCTTTCTGGACTGGATCGGCTGGATTAGACGAGAAGCTGTTATCTCCAGGATCAATAAGAACTCTAGGCTGCTCGTACTGGTTTATGCGTCATTTTTCCGATCAATAAGTCGGTGACTTGAATTAGCGATCATATCGCGTGACATATTAACAATGAACAAGGGTCACAAGTTATAACTCTTTGTAGATCATAAACTAACCTAACAATAGAACCTAAAATCTGACCTCTATGTCTTAAGGTGCTAAGCTCCTATTTATCAAGCACAAAACAAACAGGAGGACTGTGTATATCAAAGTGATACCTTACCAAGCTACTCAAATGTTCGGTAGAGTTTAATTTAAATAATATATAATGTCGCTCTAAATCAAAAACTTGCTCAGTTTAAAGAAATTACAACAGTAAGTGCCATAAGAATTATCGACAAATATTAAAACTCACTGGCTTCATGTTTGGAGAATCTGTTAACTTAAGTTCTTCCGACTCAAGGGTCTTATCACAAAGTTTCAAACCTTTATTTGAATCCCCTACAGATGAAGGTGAAACTAAAGGCCCGTTGTAAGCAGGACTCAATGACAGAGAACGATCATCACGATTTCTATCTGATAAACAACAAACAGAATCTGTGAATTCACTGTTTTCCAGATCAGCTGGATAAAATGATTTGCCCGAGCTGGGTATACTGTTATTTAGAGTATCATCCAGAGGAAAAGGGCAGAGTTCTGACAAATCCGAAGTTTTATTCTGAATAATGCCTTCACACTCAATGTCGTTGGATTCCATAGAACATTCTAACTTCTCTTTCAATCTTTCTCTTGGTTGTATTGGTGAAGGGGAGCAGACTATCATAGATTCATTGTTACCATCACTCTGCAAATATGAAAGTTTTGTGCTTCGATTTCTTTTGCTTTGGGAATTCTTAACAGATAAACCAGAAACAGAATGTGTTGAAGAAATAAGAGAGGCATCAACTGGTGGTGAATTGGTAAAAATTGATGGATGATGAAAATCGTTGTCGGGTGCGTTACAATTGAAATTCTTTGGTTTTGATCGGGATGAACGACGTGAATTTGTTTGACCAGACTTTAAGAAAGCAAAAAAGTGGTTACTAGTTATACAAATAAGCAAAACTATGTAGCTCACAAACTCGAAGTAATAAGCAAGAGACACAATAGTACATCTTCTTCAATCCAAATGGAATTTGGTACATTATTAGGGAAAAGCATGACAAGATCAGTAATCACTTTAAGACGGAATATTCCAAACGGTGTTTATGTGACAGCAACTCAAAGAAGCAATAACTTAAAACCTTTATTTGAGCTATTACCGTTTTTTAATAAGAGTTTATCGTACTAGACTTACCTGGAATTTCGGTTGCAAAAAATCCTCATATTAAAGGGACTACCGTTTTTTGTCACCGCTGTACTGGGGTCAGGTAAGGTTTATTGGCTAAGCTACTTTCATCTAACTTTGCTTTTGACCAGTTTGGAACAAACAAAGGTAGTGTGGTGCTGCTAGAACCAGAAAGACGTCACTGAAAATGATGACCATGACCTGTGATTACATATAGACTAAGCAGTTAGGTTAGCCGTTGTCCATGTAACTTTAATTGGGAAAGATCAGGCACTTATAACCTCCTTATAGATAAACTATGTACACAATTTGCTTCATTTTGAGGAGGATAAGAGGAGAGGTGTAGCCAAGAATAGTATATAAGATCCAGCTGATAAAAAATAATATTTGTAATGACTTGAAAGAAGATTGATACGTCACTATTGCTAATTGAACTAAATGCCGATTACTGCCACAGCTACCAGTAAGGCTGTGCTGATATGACTGAAGGATAATTGCTACCTGCTACTTACTGCAACGGAACACAGGTGCTATGCCGACGCAAAGAAAACAAGACTTTAAATGAAGGATTACTTATAATTCATCCCTAAATTATATATTTGTTTCCTTTTTAACATGGTCAAGAAAGACTTCTTCTAGTCAAGTGAGTTTCTCTTACCTAAAATAAAGCTACAGCAAGATCGCCACTGGCTAATACTCTGAGCCGTGTTTGATGATGCCTTAAGCCCGTGAACTGCATAGAGAGATAATAGCATTTTTAGACATAGTTTATGGTTGAGACTAATGATAATCCAATTGCATACTTCTATCGCTTTTCATATAAAGAGCCCTTGTTTGATCACCATTTCGACTAACCTAAAATTTGTTGATACTCTCAATAAACTATCATTTTGTTCTTTCAATAGCTATTATTGGAGTTTCTGTTGTGCGAAGTTCTTAAATTTTAAACGAAATCTAGAATCAGATGTTTGATATGATGGTCAAAATACACTCTGTTAAAGATCCGAACCCGATAAGTAGACTCATTAAAGAGGTTTGTTCGATCAATTAACGTAGTAGAGTTAAGCAATATGGGGACACCAATTAATTCTACCATAAGATGAACGTCTAATGAAAAAAAATATAAAAACAAGTAGGACTTGCCACATGGAGAATCAACTTTACAAGCAGATTCATTATACCTCCTAAAGAAAAAAGATGAAGTCTAAATCGATAGTTTCAATTGCCTTATGAAACCAGTTATTATGCACGTATTACGAAGACATTTATAAAACGGGAAAACTGACGATGCACGATACATGAACTGAAAGTACCGAAACCAAATTAACCTCTCAATATGTAGTGGTATGATTTATTGATGCTTATTCAGGATGCACAAGTTTATGTATTTGATTTCGAGTTACACTGTGTGTGAAGCCCAGTGATACTCCTCAGCTGCCAAATACCAAGGCGGTTGGGGAAGGGTATGAATCTCTAAACCATTGTCTGAAAACCTTAGTCACTAAGCCACCGCCCCATCTAGATGCTAGTAATCGAGATACATTTGAAAACTTTTAAGTTAAATAGAGATAAACGAATAGCAACAATACCGTATATTTTCATACAATGGTGAACCTATTTAACTTGTCAACACTTGTGTCAAAAGAGATAGGAGGCGGAAAAACACCAATAAGCAACGAAACATCTAGTGTATGGAAATACTCAGGATTTAGAAAATGAAGCTAACTAACCTGGTTCCTGAAACTTATTACTTTGTTTAAAGAACATAATCGGAATATCGTATAACCATAGCAATAATTAAACTTCGTTGTTCAGCCCTCCAGAAAAAAGGCGCTCTTTGTACTCGTAACTTCGAGCTCCACCTAACAATTAACAAGTCCGTTGTTTTGATTCAAGCTCAATATCAACAGAAAGTTACCGTAAATCATTCTTTTTTCAACAAACATGAAAAGTGATCAAAGTTCATGCTTGTCAACTATTTAAACACTACCCTCTTTAAAGTGTATTTACCATAAAATATACATATCCCTGAAATCAAGTAACAAATAGCCATAGTTCTGATGAGTTGGCAGGATCATATTTATTGATTTTGATATATTTCATCTTGATAGAAACAGTGCTTACCGATTTCTTAGTACGTATTTCATGAACAAACGTTTTTTTTATATTATTGTTTGTATTTGATTGAAGCAAATCACTGGAAGAGGTGTATCTATACCGGTTGCCTACATGGGCTCGTAGACCAGCTCGGTTACGAATACGTGGGGTGAATTCACCTTTAGCTTGGCGATCAGAAAAGTCTTGGAGGGCTTTTGTAAAAAATTCGTTGTTGAGGGCAGTAGGATGTAACCATACAGTATTTGACTGCTCAGATGACTCAATCCCCGAAGATAAAGAAAGTGATGGACTATAATCATTTTCATCGATTAAAACAGAATTATTAAGAGACATCTCTCTGCAATGATCAAACAATGGTAAAAGTTGACACAGCATCTGCTGGACATCCAAAGGAAGAGAATGAAATGTCTCCCTGTTAATGAGCAACTGAAAAAGAGCAAAATGGATTAGTAAAGAAATAAAAACCGAGGACATATATAATTTACCTTTAACTGTTTTTTTCTAACTTTTGATAAAATAAGACAAATAGTAAAATGGTTCACTATTCCACGACAATACTTCCAGATTTAAAAAGTTTATTTTTTGAGATGGGATTTTGATTATATATACACGAATATTTTGCAGTGACAAATGAATAATCAACATTTCCAAATTAAAAACCATGACATATAACAAAGATTTGAAACTCTACACTGGAGGCAAAAAGGAACTATATCAGAGCATGGTCTCATGCAGTGGAATACTGAAACAAATTCTATTTCACCAGTGACATTATGGGAACTCCAAATGTTTGATCACCATTATAACTGATTCCACCCAGTAAGACTAAAAACAGCAAACTCAAGGTCGGAGAGTGAAGTCGTACTGTTGATTGCACAAAGGTGTAAAGGCAGTAGGATGTCTTCCTAAGACAACCAGAATAACAGCGATACTGTCCTCCCACAAAGGGAGTGTGGGTTTAGAAAACGTCGACCCTAAAAATGCACACCGCCTTATTTTACGGATTATATATATATATATAGTGTTATTAGCATTTGCTTTTCCTTGCCGTGCCCTTATGAGATTTGACTATAAATTTGCCTCTGTACTTCCTCGAATACACATTCGCCTGTCTGCTTTAAATTCGCTCGCTGTGCTTATAACTTTGTTGTCTGTGCTATTTGCTAATAAACCACAGTTGCCGCTTCTTATTGCCTTTTGATTATAAGCACCGTTGAGAATTATGTAATAACGGTTACAAAGGTGATTGACCAACGAAGCAAAGCCACTACAATAGTACTCGTAGCAGGTGAACTTAACGCCTAAGTAGATAGTTAAGCTAAACAGAAAAACATTTAGGTGGATATTTTAGTATTCCGGCTCAGCGAACAGATAATGGTGATCGTCTGTTGCAACTATGCTCAGATAATCGTTTATTTTTAGCAAACACTAATTTTAAGCATAAGGAGAGAAATCGTCTAACATAGTGACCCCCTGAACCAAACCAACGATAAACTCAAATAGACCATATTGCCATTAGTCATCGTTGGAGAGGCTCAATAGAAGACTGTCACTCGTTCTGGAATATCGGAAAAAGACGGTACTTTTATCTGCTCTCAGCCCAGATGTTTAGAACGATGAACGGAACACTTTAAGGAGCAGTCCAGCTGGCTTGCAGCTACTCTACAGCTGCCCACCATTCCCAGACAACCTGAATGGAACATTGAAATAGACCTACCTACTCTAGTTGAAGTTTAAAAAGTTATAGGTTTTCTGAAACAACGAAGAACAGGTGGTCCAGATGTCAGTCAGCTACAACGTAGGACCAGGCATATATATGCACCGGTCCAAGTTGCCACACCTCATTAGCGATTAGGTTGACTAATATTGCAGCTGAAACCTGGGAACTGGACGTAATCCCATTTGACTGGTCGCAATCACTGGTCGTCTCAGTATATAAGAAAGGATCAAAACCATCCTGTGATAATCATAGAGGGGTTAGCTTGGTTAAAAATGCTTGGTCTAAAATGCTAGCCTCAATAATTATCGGGTGCCTAACAAATACTGGTGAACTGTAAACATGAGAAAACCAGGCTAGCTTCAGACACGGTCGTGGCTGCATCGACCACATAGTCACTATTCGTCAGACATGCTTATCGGCGTCAGACAATGATGGTTTTTCTTGATGTGAAAGCAGTATTTGACTCTGTAGACCGAGAAGTTCAGTGGCAATTTCTGTCATTGAAAGGCGTACCTCAGAAGTACATAAGCCTTGTAAAGGCTCATTACTAGAACACTACCAGTCGAGTCAGAGTTTATAGTGAACTGTCATTTGGTTTTGTAACCTCAAGTGGTGTCTATCAAGACTGTTCAACATCTCTCAATATCTTATATTTATTATTTATTTAAACACATATATATTGGTACAAAAGGGCACCAGGTACATATGCGCCACACAAAACAATGAAAGTAGGAAGAGAAGGGATGAAAAGATAAGGCGGACTGAAATGTACAACCAGAAGACTTTTTAAGTTAGGAAGGTTAGAACCATTCTTTATGTAGAAAGTAAAAGAAGGTTGCAGCAGGATCGCCACTGGCTTCTATTCTGAGCCATATCTGATAACGTTTCTAGCCACTGTGTTGCACCATCTCTCGGACCCCAACCAAGGAGTCGTGAAGGACCAACAGAAGCTAGCCCTTTGCAGCTCTCTTTCATGCCACGACACCATGTCATACACTGACCTCCTCTCCGCTTTTTCCAACCAGTCCCAGGGTCGGCAAATAATGCACAACGTGGAAGTCTCTGGAACGACATTCGTAAGACATGTCCAAGCCACCGAAGTTGGTGTTTCAAGATGGTGGCACCAATTGAATTATCGTCTCTGTGCCCGAACACACGATGCCGAACCTCTGCATTACTAACATGGTGTTGCCACTGTATGTCAGCAATCCTTCGGAGACAACGATGATCGGACACAGAGACGTCTAACATCCTGAACTCGGAGAGGCCAGGTTTCACAAGCATAGAGCAAAACTGCTCTCACCGACGCGTTGTAGATCCGACCTTTTACAGCCAGACTAACATCACGAAGGCGCCAAAGATGGCCCAGATTGGCACAAGCTGCTCTGGCTTTCCTTATACGTGCATCAATCTCATCACTCACGCCACCACCAGCACTTATATAGCTACCTAGATACACGAACTTCTCAACTACTTCGATCTGCTCACCATCCAGGGTGAGTACAGGATTAGAATCCTGCCAGTCTTGTACAAGTACTTTGCACTTGGAGGGTGCAAAGCACATGCCGTACCTGCGGACACTGATTGCCAACTGATTAAGTGCTGATTGCATGCCTTGGGCATTATCGCACAGTAAACCAATATCATCCGCATACTCAAGGTCGAGAAGTCGTTCTCCAGGCAACATATCCACACCGCCATTACTTACATCCACCAGAGCTGTTTCTAGGATGTCGTCGATGGCAAAGTTGAAGAGGAATGGTGAGATCGGGAAACCCTGCCTAACCCCACTGCTCGAATGGAACAAGGGAGAAAGGTGGTTGTATGCCCTCACTCTGCCTGAGGTGTTCGTGTACAGGGCCTCTAAGATGTTAATGAACTTCTCAGGCACACCCTTCTTCAATAGACAATCCCAGAGAACAGTCCTGTCCAACGAATCGAAGGCCGCCCTGATATCAAGAAACACTACGATTGTTGGCCTGCGATAAGTATGACGGTGTTCTAACATTTGGCGGAGGGTGAAGATGTGATCAATGCATCCTCGACCAGAACGAAAACCAGCCTGCTCCTCGCGAGTCAATCGTTCTCGGGTTTTAAACAACCTACGAAGAATGATAGAAGCCAATAGTTTGGACGCAATCGGAAGTAGACTTATCCCCCGGTAGTTATTGCAGGAACAACGCGAACCCTTTTTAAAGATAGGGACGACTATTGACTCGTTCCATGATGTTGGAACACTTTCTTGCTCCCAAACCTTTCCAAACAACACAGTCAATTCCTTAGTCAGAAAGTCGCTACCATCTTTAAAAAGAGCCGGAGGTAAGTCATCTGGGCCAGGTGATTTGTAGCGCTTCAAGAGTTGGAGTTCCTTGCGGACTTCCGCCTCGTTTGGTGGAACAGTCGTCACCGGCCATGGGGGGCAGGACAAGCTGGTTGATGTTGCCGGAGCAGCAGGCCAGTTGAACTGCCCTTCGAAAAACTCCGCCCATCGTCCAAGACGTCGGGAGATGTTAGTGATTAGCATCCCATCATCCTCGTACATTGTTTCACTCACACCAGACTTCTTGCTGCCAGTGGCTCGGATGAGTTGGAAGAGCTTCGGGCAGTTACCAGATGCAGCTGCTGCTTCCATCTCATTAGCACGCTCCGACCACCAGGCTTCTCGGTCCTTACGCAAGCTTTGCCCGATTTCATTACGTAACAGCCTTCGTTTGTGGTCAAACTCACGGTCACCCGGAGTAGACCGACTGGCTTTGATCAGCTGTAAGGAGCCAGAAGAGACCCAGTGTTTGTCAGGGGGACGTTTCGCGAAGCCGCAAGCGGCTTTACTCGCCATTTTCATGGCGTCGTGAAGATGCAACCAACGCTCATCTATACTTTTCGGTGGGGTGTTAGCTAGCCTAGAGGCTAGCTCCGCTTGATACTTACTTGCAACAGGAGTTGCAGCCAGTTTACTAATATCAATCCGTTGGTGGTGGTCAATCCTTCGGCCACCGAAAAGTAAGGTGAGATTGGCGCAGACCAGGGCATGATCAGACTCCAGATAGGTACTCCAAAAGGAGCGGCAGTCTTGTACACAACCACGCCAGCGGTAGCTGATTGCGATGTGATCAATCTGAGTCCAGGCTTGGGATGCAGAGGGAGGACGCCAGGTGCCACACCGGCGATGACTGTGCCGGAAGTTAGGGCTAGTCAGAAACAGGTTGTGGTCTGTGAACAGTTGCAGCAAACGGTCCCCGTTATCTGTCCTGCGACCAACAAGTCCCCATCGGCCACCTAGACGACTCTCTTCTATGCCTAGACGCCCAACCTGTGCATTCAAGTCTCCGGCTAGTACTACAATATCTGTCGAACGCGCTTTCTGGAGAAGAACTGTTAACTGATGGTAAAACTCATCCTTGATTGCATCCGGGCTGCAATCTGTCGGAGCATAGGCGGAGATGACGAAAAGACACCGTTTCTCACGCCGGTTTCTTCTCACTTTGATGGAGCTTTCTAATCTAACAGCACATAACCGACTGTTAATGGGGATCCAATCGATTAGTGCTGCCTCAGCCCTAGCGCTTAGTGCGACGCCAACGCCAGCAAGACCAGACGAAGATGCCACAGGGTCCCCGGATAAGCGCACGTGGAACAAGCTTTTCGAGGCGACAGATGGAGAGCGGATTTGTAGTACTTCACTAGAGTCTTGAATACGGGTCTCGGA